TGTTAACCTTTTTTATTTATCTTATAAACACATCAGTAGTCACAAATTCCTACTAGTTTTATTTTACAAAATCTTCTCCATGGTTCAAATGTCAGTCATCACTAATTTGAGATGTTATAGTTGCCTTCTAAACAGTGTTCCTAGTGTTCTCTTTCAGCCCATTATATTCATTATCATCAGTGTTGTCTCTCTGGACATAGTCCAAATATGTCATTCTCATGCTCATAATCTGACAATAAAAGAGGAAAGTAAAAGGATATAATGTTAAAGATAAAAAATTATATGGAACTGTGGGTAGATAAGAGAATAAAAATTTTAGTAGATAAGAGAATAAAAATTTTATAGAAGAATATTATTTGCGACTCTATGACAATATATTTAAAAATCTGGAAGAAATGAATGCTTTCCTAGAAAAATATAAATTACCAAAATGGAATAAATAGAAAACCTGAATAGATCAGTAATCATGGAAGAGATGGAGAAGATAGACCATTTGCAGAGGGACCAGGCCTAGTCTTAGTTGCTATAGAGGGGAAAGAAATGAATACAAACTTTCAACCTAGAGTAAATTTACAGCCTACTAAATAGGTTTCAAAACTAACATAAACAGGTTCCACTTAATAGATTGGGCCAGGCAAAGCAAGGGAATGAGACTGGAAAATTTCATTCTTGTTTCTTTTGAATTAATGACCTTTTAAATTTTTTTTCCAAATAAAATCCCTTGCATATAGAAACATCAAACAGAAACAGAGTGTTTGTGGGATTAGTTTTTTGTGTGTGTGTGTGCCTCATTTTTGTACTCTAGAAGCCTCCAGATGGCAGCATTTTACTTTGGAAAATGTTCAGTGCTTGCAGTGCCTCTCCTGCTTTTTGATTCATAACAGCACCTGAGTCAGGCTGTCAACAGCGGGAGGGGACGGGAGACAAGGTGGTAGATGTGTTTCAAGATATTCTTACCTTTCACACTCTCCTCTGATTTACCATCCACAGAGATCCTCTGCAAATTGGCAGTTGAGGTAAGCACTTTTCTTACAGTCAATATAAAAACAGGCACTTTATTCCAGCTGCCTTTGTACCACCCTACAAAAATTAAACAGTTGATTTTTGTGTTCCTGACATACCATTTGCACAAAAACAATTTTTGTTTTTCATCTTGAAAATTAGGTAGTAAAGAGTCCATATTACAAAATAGCAATAACATGGCCGAGCGCGGTGGCTCACACCTATAATCCCAGAACTTTGGGGGCCAAGGTGGGCAGATCACAAGGTCAGGAGTTTGAGACCAGCCTGACCAACATGGTGAAACCTCGTCTCTACTGAAAATACAAAAAGTAGCCAGGCGTGGTGGCATGCGCCTGTAGTCCCAGCTACTTGGGAGGCTGAGGCAGGAAAATTGCTTGAACCCAGGAGAAGGAGGTTGCAGTGAGCTGAGATCATGCCTCTGCACTCCAGCCTGGGCGGCAGAGCGAGACTCCATCTCAAAAATAAAAAATAAAAAATGAAAAAAATTGAAATAACATTAGCCCTTGCCTAAATTGCTGAAATGTCCTACTTCTTGCCTCTGTAGAGCCTCTCATCCAAAGTGCATATCATGTCACTCTCCTATTCCCAGCCTGTGCCTTTCGTCACAACCAAAGTAAACCCAGCCTCCTTAAAGCAGTCTTCAAGACCCTACAGGATCTGGCCCTCTCCACTTCCCTGACCTCATCTTCTACCATTCTCCGTCTTGTCTGCTCACTTGGTTCTAGCTATTATGGTCTTGATGCTTTTTGAACATAATGAGCATGTCCCACCTGGGACCTTTGCACTTCTCTATTGTCTCTCTGATTTTTGCATAGTTTGTGTCCTCAATAAAGTCTCTTCTCAGGTGTCCCTTCTTTGGAGAGGCCTTCCCTGATCACTGCCCCCTCTCCCAACCTTATCCTCACCCTGTTTTTTTCTCCCTCAGAAGAACAGAAGTATCTAATAATTTATTGGGTGTCTTTGTCACAAAGTATATAAATTCCATGGAGGACTGAGATTCATATTGTTTATTCTTATCTCCCCAGGACTAAAAAAAAAAAAAAATGCCTGATACATAGTAGGTACTCAGTAAGTTGTTGAATGAATGAAAGAATAAGCAAAGTTCAGTCCTGATGTGTCTATACCATCTCTTTTGACAAGCTGTATGGCAGATACTTGGAAAGTAGTAGCCCAATCCTAATTAAGTGGTCTTATTGATGCTAGCTCATTAAATTTCTTAGATACCCATGAGCCTATACTTTTATTTCTTAAGCAGACACTTAATTTTTAAAAGTCTCCCCAAATTTGTCACTAAAACAAAAGTCGTCAGATAAATGATAGAGATTACATATCTTTAGCATTTATGTAATTGAAAACACATTGAAATTAGCATCAAATTATTCTATAATAGATCTGTGGAACTAATTCTTAAATAAAGTTTATTTTACTGAGAAGTTATGTAAGTTACCAAAAAGAACTTGTCACCTGTGTCGAAAGAGTGTTTGCATTACTAATCCTGGATGATATTTTGTCGGCAAAACAATTCTGAAGCATAGAATATTCAGGCTGCAAAGAGAAGAGTGTAAATAATTAAGATGTAAATTCAATTATGGCTGTCTCCCCATTACAGATCTTTTTATGGTAATAGCAATGTACTGTGTCCTCAATTTGTAAGTGGAATTGCATCCAGATATAAGTATGTGGAAAAAGAAGTTCTGAAAATTTCTTGTAAATAAAAAGCAATTTGTTAAATACTATTCCCATCTGTATGGATCTAGTTATACTCCCAATATTTCAGTTTTATAACTACATAGAATCTCAAAATTAAAACATAATAATTTAAGTAATATTATATTCTAAAAGATAGTAGAATAATTTTGTAAATTATTCAGTAACAATAAACAATCTTTAAGCTGAAATATATTAAGTACCTTCTTTAAAGTGGAATTGAGGACTTAATTTTTCATTCCTATCTGTCATCTTTCTAAGTGCTATTACCTTAATTTGTATTTTTTATTTTAAAAAATTATTCTGATGATTTTGTTCATGCTTATATTATAACTAATATGAATCTATTAAGAGTTTACAATGTGCTAGGCATTGTACTAAGCACCTTCAAATTACTTGATTAATACTCATGGGTTAGCCTGAGAATCCAGTTACAATTTATAATAAATTTTCAATGTAAAAATGAACTCCAACTTTAAAAGCACTGACTTACAAATGAAGTATCTTAACACAGTGTGTTGGTGAGTAGAGAACTGTCTGAACTGCGTGACTGCAACTTTCAATGAATGAAAACCTATGCAGCATGATAAATTGAATCAAATTAGAATAACGTGTATGTAGGAGACTATTGGAGCTCTTTCACATCTTATCTTCATACAGCATTCTTTGCATTTAAAGATACTACTGATGACAGTATTGCTTTCTGAGTATTTGCAAGGCTACAAAGGCTGATGCATGCGTGACTTGCGGTTACTTTCACAATAAGCATTATCCATGTGAATTCGGTCTGTGGATTGTTGTGTGGCAAAGTTCTTTGGCAGCAATGTCTCTACCCTCTGCAGTAAAACTTGTCTTTGCCCAAATAGCCACATCATCTCTTATTGCTATAGCCTCTAAGTTTTCTGCTGCTTTTGTTGTGTCTATACAATCTGCACTGATATGATTCAGTGAGACCTTGTTAGTATTCTTTGGCTTACTCTTGCCTTAACTAATCACAGAATAGTTCACCATAGGGAAGTCATGGTGATGGAGATTCTCCAAATCTCCTCAAAGTCACATGACAAGATGGCAACTTATTCTTTTGGCTTGCCAAAACGGATATAATGGTCATCTGTGGTTTATCCCTGCTCAGCATCTGTTTCCCTACATCGAGGTAAAAATCAACTCCTTTGGAGACTGACCCTCCTCCGTTGATTCAGTTAAGGCCCATGATACTACTAGGGCTAAACCACGCTCTGGAGCCAGTGATTGGTACATGACAGTTGAGTATAATATATGCCTTGACTATAAAGACTAGTTAAAGAGTAGGCCTGTGATCTAAGCAGGCCAGTTACAGCCATTAACATAATTTTAGGACTTTCTGCTGGAACCACTGGGAAAGAAAAACTGTCTTTTGTTTTTTGTGGTGGCGAAGCCTAAGCTTGCTAGTAGCCATTTTGACGCCACTTGAGGTCAGCCTAAGAATGAAGGCAACATGGGGGAAAGCCAAGCTGGGAAGTGAAGAACATACAAATTACATTGTTTGAGCACCTAGATCTAGCTTCACTTGAGGCCAGCAATAAGCCCTTCACATTTTAGATTAGTTTAAGTTAATTGGATTGGGTTATATCTTTTGCAACCAAAAGAATCTTGAATAATTGAGTAGGCATGACCACAAACTAAACCTCAAGAGCCCTTATGTACCTATACATGCCTACCCATGTATAGGTAGATAGTCATATTGAAATATAGTATAGTAAATAGTCATATTGAAGACCTCTGTTAATACTGAAGAGCAGACCATGATATCAATTGCTGGCATATCCCTGAAGATCAGAAAGTGAAATGCAGATTGCTGGTGCTGTATTTTGGAATTCTACATTTCTGTCCTTTATCCTTTTCATAAAACTGGAATAGTGGAGAGCGCTGATTAGAGTGCATGTTACATCATGATGTCAGCGCTACAGTCTTAAAGCAAATCTTAGTAGGTGGTTGACAGGTACTGTAATTAATAAATAGATGGGGAAATACCAGTTGAGGTACCAAATTACTCTCATGTGATGGACATATTTTGAATTTAGGCTCTGCTTTCTAGCTTTGTGATTGTGGCCAAGTTACTTACCCTTTCAGCCACGGTTGCCTCATATTTAAAGTAGGAATAATAATAGTCCTGCCTAATAGGGCTTTTTAAGAAAATTAAACAGATTTATTTGGGGAACGAGCTTAGAACAGTGTCTAGGCATAATAAGTACTCAAAATGTGTTGATTATATTATTTCTCTTTAATTTTAGACATCACAACATTACCCCAGAGAGGAATCCAGGATTCTCACACCATGACACCATCCTCATCTGTTTCTCCAGCCACATTTGGACATGGATCTGGCAGCCAAAGGTACAAATACAAGATTCTATACTAGATCTTAGAAGGTTGTCAGTTTTTTGTGGGTTAATGGTTAATACAGAAAAGCAACAAAGTATGACTGCTATATCAGGATTATATTCAGCCTTGAAGCAATTTCCATTTTTATATGTTCACTTAGACCAGTTTGTATGCTATGAAATCAATGAGAAGAAAATTGTGTTGGCAAGAAATCTACCTGGTTAAAAAAAAAAAAAAAGAAAGAAAGAAAGAAAGAAAGAAAAAGATGTTTTCTTAGACTACATATGCCTTTAAACATTTTTATTTAGAATTTTTTATTTCCCTGCAAATATGTGATTATAGCATTACAAGGAAGACATTGTATTTGTACAATAGCCTTCATTCAGCTCTCTTGAAGCAAATATTAGACATGTCTAGTGTAAGTAAAACCACATGTTATAATGGGAAACTATTATAAGAAAAAAGATGTAACATTTGAAATTGGTCAGAAAATCAGAGAAAGGTTGCCTTTTTGGCATATTTTTAAGCTATACTCCTTTAGATAGTATTGCAAAATATGAATTTCTGTTACAGGAACAAAATTATTAGAGAGTGAAAATGAGACATTATAATAATGTAATGAAGATTTTTTTTACTGAGATAGTTGATCTCAGTTTCAAGTAAATAATTACCCACATCTCTCAATTTAAGGCTGCTTTGAATGCTTTTTCTGCCTCCTTTTTTATTGTCATTCTGTTAGCTATCACATATTACAACTGTCAGATGCCTGAGTCTAGAAGCTACCCCTTTTAATTTCTTGCTTCTAATCTGCAGTGAAGAGGGAAATTAGATTTTCTCTAAAACAAGAGTGAGTAGGCTTTAAGTGAAAGTCTGAGAGTTTTCTAATGGTTAATTGGGTGACCTTAGTGTGTGGTTTTGTGATTTTTTTTTTTCCCCCTGAATACTCAAGGCTGCTTTTTGCTTACTTCCGGTTTTCTCAACCATGTCTAGATGAGGATATGACCTTTGGTTAAGTGAAGTACTTTTGTAACAAGTTTAAATTTTCAGGGAATTTCTATGTAGCTAAACTTTATACTTACACATAATTTATTTTCTTTTGTTCATGATCTTCCAATGGAGGTGCTTAATGTCAACAAGCAATAAATCTAGATTCTGTGTTTTGTATTGGTTGCTCTTCCAAATTAATACTCATCCCCCCTCTAACCAATCCAAGACAATTATTGGCCTCATCATTGTTCTCTGAATATACCTTGCTTACTCTTGCCCTTATGCAATCTTTTAAACTGTTGCTTTGAGGTAAGGCACGTTTTCCTACCTCTGTTAATGTTCTCATGCTTTCTAAGCCGTCTCACGTTCTAATGTTTCCATGACTCTAAGTCTGGACCACGTGGATCACTTACCATTCTAATTACCTATAACTACTTTCCCATGCACTGGGGGAGCGGGGACTGATCAAGTACTATTACTCATTGTTCTCCACTTGGGGGTATATAGGCTTAGCATCTCTAAGTATACTATTACCTGCTCTGAGTAAACATACATTCTTTCTGCAGTACAGAGAAGACAAGGACATTATTAATACCCTTTAATCATCTTGTCTTACATCTGGTAGGAAATAGATGACATCTATTCAGTTAAGGATGACAAAACAGCAGACAGGATGGCTAGTGATTTGAGAAAAGATGTCTGTCCTTCTTTGTACATATCTTTGTTTCTCCTCAAACAAGCCTTCTTTGTATAAAGATGTCTGGAAATTGTCACATTACATAGCAGTGGGTAGGAAAAAGCAATTCCTTTACTACTGATGTACATCTATGCAGAGCTTCAAAGGCAACTTGAGCAGGTAACAGGTTCACCTATAGATATTAGATTAGCTCAAGCACTTTTTTCACAGGATTTCTTGTCTCAGACATGTGGTCTAGATATATGACTAATGTAGCTCTCTAATTGTGGATTCTTTATACTTTCAACTTTAAAAGATCTTTTCATAATTCTGTTTCTCCCCTCTAAATCTTTACGTTTTGTCAAAGGGAATCTTTTCTACTATGTTTCTTCCTGTTTTGAAACCACTCTGATGGAAAAAAAAAATGGTGTATTTTTTTGTTATATTTCAGAAGAAGTTTATTTTGTTTTTATTCTAACCATTTGTTAATGAGTCATATAAATCCCTTGGGTTTTCTTGACCTAAATTTCAAGTCTTATAAAAAAAAATCTCACAACATAGTTAACAATTACTAGAGATGAATAAAATGTTTTATGAAACCCCTCATTCCTCCCAAGCCCTGAGCCTAGTATAGAGAGCTGCCTGGAGTCCATGTGACTGCACATTGCTCCAGAGAGAGTATGTGTGAGGAGTACCACCTCTGGTCCCTAAGCCGTTGCAAGATGGTGCCATTTTGAAAGAACAGCCAACACGAGACTTCATCCTGCCCTAGGGCCCAATAGTCCCTATACTCCACATCCTTGGGACCCCACCAAGATTCCCTCACATCCACCCAGAGGGTTGCAGCATCATGGCGCTGTCTGGACCCAGTAGTACAGCTGTGTCTTTGGCTTCTGAGCCCATGCTACATCCTATACCCTGAGAAATGGGTGGTTGAGCACACCAAGGAGGCTGCCCCCAAAGCGTAGGGAACGACAGCATCAACAGAATAAAGGACAAAATCATATGATCATCTCAATAGAAACAAAAAAAGCATTTGAAAAAGTCAATATCCCTTCATGATAAAAGCTGTCAACAAACTGACTATAGAAAAAACATGGCTCAAGATAATAAAGGCCATATATGACAAATCCACAGCTAACATGATACCGATGGGAAAAATATGAAAGCCTTTCCCCTAAGATATGGAACAAGACAAAGATGCATACTTTTACCACTTTTATTGAACATAGTTTTGAAAATCTTAGCCAGAGAAAGAAACAGAATCCAAATTGGAAAGGAAAAAGTCAAATTATCCTTATTTGCAGATGACATAATTTTATATTTAGAAGAACCTAAAGTCTCTACCAATAAACGCTTAGAAACTGATACTCGATTTCAATAAAGATGCAGAATAGAAAATCAACATACAAAAATCAGTAGTATTTCTATCTGCCAACAGTGAATGATCTGAAAAGGAATTCAAGAAAGCAATCCCATTTATAATAGCTACAAAAAAAATAAAATAACTAAGAATAAACTTAACCAAAGAAGTGAAAGATTTCCACATTGAAAACTATAAAACACTGATGAAAGAAATCAAAGAAGATACAACAAAAATGAAAAGATATCCCAGGTTCATGGATTGGGATAATTAATACTGTTAAAATGTCCATACTACCCAGAGTAATCTCTCTACAGATTCAGTGCAATTCCTATCCAAATACCAATGACATTTTTCAGAAAAATAGAAAAAACGATTTCAAAATGTGTTTGAAACCACAAAATACCTGAATAGTTAAAGCAATCTTGACCAAAATGAACAAAGTTGGAAACATCAGACTACCTGACTTCAAAATATACTACAAAGATATAGTAACCAAAACAGCATGGTACTGGCATAAAAACAGACACACAGACCAATGGAATAAAATAGAGAGCACAGAAATAAATCCATGTGTTCACAGCCAATTCATTTTTAACAAAGACACCAAGAACATACACTAGGGAAAGGACAGTTTCTTCAATAAATGTTGCTGGGAAAACCGGATATGCGTATGTAGAAGAATAAAACTAGATTCCTATCTCTCACCATATACAAAAATCAAATCAAATTGGATTGAAGGCCTAAATGTAAGACCCGGAACTATGAAGCTACTATTAGAAGAAAACATAGGAGAAACGCTTGGGACATTGCTCTGGGAAATGATTTTTTGGGGTAAAACCTCAAAAACAAAGGCTACAAAAGCAAAAGCAGAAAAACAGGATCACATTAAGCTGAAATGCTTCTGCAGAGCAAAGGAAACAATCAAAACAGTGAAGAGACAATCTACAAATGGAAGAAAATGTTTGAAAACTACTCTTCCAACAAGGGGTTAATGAGCAGACTATATAGAGAAGGCAAACAACTCAACAGCAGGAAAAATTAAATAGTCCAATTTTAAAATGGGCAATTGATCTAAATAGACATGTCACAAAAGGGGACAGACAAATATGCAACTGGCATATGAAAAAAAAAATGTTCAACACATCATTAATCATCAGGGAAATGGAAACCACAGTGAGATATCTCACTCTAGTTAAGGTGGCTATTATCATAAAGACAAAAAACAGATTCTGGCAAGGATGTGGAGAAAGGGGAATGCTTGTACAATGTTGGTAGGAATGTAAATTAATACAGCCACTATGGAAAATCATATGGTGGTTCCTCAAAAACCTAAAACTAGAACTACCATATCATCCAGCAACCCCACTAGTGGGTATATATCCAAAAGAAAGGAAATTAATATTTTGAAGAGATATCTGTGCTCTCATGATTATCATAGCAGTATTCACATTAGCCAAAATATGGAATTGACCTAAGTGTATATCAGTGGATGAATACATAAAGAACAAGTGGTGTATGTATATAATAGATTACTATTGAGCTATACAAAAGAATGAAATTCTGTCATTTGCAACAACATAGCTGAGCCTGGATGCATTATGTTACTCGTAATTAGGCACAGAAAGACAAATGTCACATGTTCACACTATTTTTTCCTTTTTTTAGCAAAAAGAATAAAACTTTTCTGGGAGCTAAAATGAAAGTTGATCTCATGGATGTAGATAGTAGAATGGTGGTTACTAGAGGCTGAGGGGGTTTGGTTAATAGATACAAAAGTACTGTTAGACGGAAAGGTTCTAGTGTTCAAAAGCATAGTAGGGTGACTTTAGTAATCAATAAATTATTTTTCAAAATAGCTAGAAGATTTAGAATATTCTCAACACAAATAACTGATAAATGTTTAAGGTGATGGAGATGTCAATTACTCTGATTTGATCATTACAGATTATATTCATGTATCAACATATGTAACAAACCTGCACA